ACATGACCAAGCACTGATATAGCAAACCGCAGTCTTTGACAACCGTTGAAGAGTCATACTCGAAGTTGCCCGTCGAGAATTTTCACATCCATTTAAGGAACACCAAAACCAACTACTTTCATCATAAGACACATGTGAAGGTGCTTAAAATGTACAAGTTTTTGTTTGCAATATTTTAAGGTGCTTTGGAGATAAAGAAGTTCTTTTTTATGAGTGATGTATGTCAAAAAATATTGGTAGAACAATCTTTTGAATATTTTCCAAATGCGAAAATTGCTTTTTTAAGCGTCTGCAGGTACCTTTTATGATAAAAGTAGTTGGTTTTAATATTTTCTAAATGAACAAGAAAACATTCGAATGGGAACCACGATGATAGCATTTAAACGCGTTTTCTGAAATTCTCGTTTGCTTCGGTGGTTATGTGCCTGGGAACTAAAGAAGAAATCTTGACCCGACTCCACACACACCCTTGCTCCAGAATCATGTATTCTTTCTGTTTTCATGGTTTTTCAAAAAATAAATCGTTGAAATACTTCAATAATACTATAATTATACTGCTTTTTCTCTTGCATCTATTGAGTTTTTTATGTCATATCAACAATTAGCAGAAAGAAAAGATCTTTAATCATAATATATTGATTGTGTATTTCTAGTCATATTGATAAACTTAGAAATAGTTTGTAGTAACTGGAAGTACTTGAAAGTGACTCACATTCATTTCAAGTACAAAATTATGCTTTTTCCTCCAACGATATGTTTCTCGATGAAAGGATAGCTGAGAGAAGTTTGTTCAAAATATTGCAAAACTTGCTAAAGCAATGTACTGGGCTAATCAGAAACTCAAGTCATATGTTATGACAATGCTAATCAATTAATGATTTTATTGTCGATTTGAATTTGTTATTCAATCGGACGGATAATTTATAAAACTTGCCGTTTAGTCAGAAATCAAAATTATCAATAAGCAGTTTACTTAGTTTCTTTTGATACTTCACCAAAAATTGAACTAACGTACGATGCAAAAGTAACGGCACAAATGTCAGTCTTTAATTTTTTTTCATAGACACAATTCTGGAAAGAAAATGTTTTCAACAGTCGATAGGAAATTTTCTTCTTGTTCGAACCATAAATAATTTATATTGGTCACACATTCATAAATGACATAACACGAGAAAAAAAGAAAAACACTTGCACCATAGATTCGTAATCCTTATATGAACTCGTCAAAAACATCTTGTTAAACGATATTAATTGTAATTAATTATCGTCTGCACGATGTTTTTGACGAATTCAGATAAAATTTGTCAATGTATTGCGCAAGTGTTTCTCTTTTTTTCTCGTCTCGTTTCACTTAACAATGTGTAACAAATATGAATCGTGCACTATTTGAAAGAAGAGAAAATTCTCTATCAACTGACAAAAAAATATTCTTTTTAGAAGCTGTTTATCGAAGCGACATAAGATTTGATATTTTATGCAATTATTTTATATGAAAGCGCGGATTTCTTGTAAAGATGCTTCTCTTTTCTGTTGTGTTATTTCATTTATGAACGTATTATAAAAATAAGTTATATACGATTCGAAAGAGGAGAAAAAGCTCTATTATTCAGTAGAAAGGGTTTTCTTCCAGCAGCCTTTTGTCGAAGAGAAATAGGATCGATATTTTGTATCATTAATTTTGCATCATACTTTATTTGTAGTCATCCTATAACCAAAATAAATAATTTTAATCTGACTTTTTTCCTTTTCCTATTTTTACACATGCTTGGTGATTGTAACGAAAAAGAATACCATTCTTAAAGAGTTTATTGAACAGAAAATAGATGTTCGTTCTTTTCAGCTCAATCAAACGGTCACCACGATACCAGATGGCAACAGAGAGGTGTTACCATCGCTGGGGGTCATGGCGAAGGCAATGCACTCAATCAACTGAAGCACCCGCATGGTCTCTTTGTGGATAATGATCGAACTGTTTATATTGCTGATTTTAGAAATCACCGTATTGTAGAATGGAAGAATGATGCAAATAGTGGTCAAGTAGTGGCAGGTGGAAAAGGAGAAGGAAATAAAATAGACCAGTTAAAATATTCAACAGATGTGATTGTTGACAAAGAGACAGACAGTGTCATCGTTTGTGATCGAGATAATCGACGAGTGATGCGATGGCCTCGTCGAAGTGGCAAAAGAAAACCAGAAACAATCATCACGAATATCTCTTGTTACGGATTAACAATGGATGATCAGAGATTTCTCTATGTCTCTGACATTGAAAATCATTCTGTGAAACGATATAAGTTGGGAGAGACGAATGGAACAGTAGTGGCGGGTGGTAATGGAAAAGGTAATGCTCTCAATCAGCTCAATTTCCCTATTTATCTTTACGTCGATCGAGATCAGTCATTATACGTATCGGACACCCAGAATCATCGTGTGATGAGGTGGGCGAAAGATGCGAAAGAAGGAACTGTTGTGGCTGGTGGTCAAGATCGCGGTGATAAACTAACCCAGTTATCTCATCCTCAAGGAGTATGCGTCGATCATTTGAGCACAGTCTATGTAGCAGATGGAGGTAATCATCGAGTGATGCGTTGGCATACAGGAGTCACACAAGGTGATGTCATTATTGGCGGAGAAGGTGTAGGAACAGAAGCAAACCAGTTGAATTGCCCTGGTGGTTTGTCATTAGATCAACATGGAAATATTTATGTTGTTGATTACAACAACCATCGAGTACAACGGTTCTCAATTGAAACGGCGAATTAGTTTTAGACAATCACTATTGACAGATGTTCATTTGTGTGCATATCTCTTGACTTTTGAAATAAAAAAATCGGTAATCATACACGAACGAATATTTATGAACTTAAGAAGGACTATCTTATTGCAACAACTAGTAGTACGTATGATCCCTCGGGTTGTGAGCACCATGTTTCGCAAGATAAGTACAATAGAGTAGTCATTGCAATAGAAAGAAAGCAAGTCATAGGCATAGAAAGTAAAGAAGAAGGTACTTACTCGGTTGTCGTTATTAGAATGTGAATGTATATGTCGAGAAGATTCCCATCCTCATCATACAAGGAAATGGATATAGCAAAAAAGTAAAAAAAACAAGGTATTACTCGCAAAAATAGTAATTTTAGATTTTCTCTGACATAATATTATATCCACTTAGGATTTTTTGCTAACAAGCATATATTTAATCAAAACATTACTTTCGACAAACAGATTTTGAGGAAAAAGATAGTGTTAACTAGAATGAGTCATTTGCCGAATTGTTCTAGCCGGTAATAATCAGTGCTATCACTTCAAGTCACTCATAAGAGTGTAACTGTTTCATATCAGTTCGAATCTTAGAAAGATGCTGATTGGGTCATTTGAACTGAGAACTGGTTCTTTTGAGTGAGATCTGTGATAGTTCTGCATAACTACGTAGTCAACCAATTTTAGACGACTGTAAGAAAGTGACATCAGATTCATATTCAATATGACAAATCAAGCCTGATAGA